GAGTGATCATGCATTGACATCCACTCAAGGAATGTATTCCTGATCTTATTGTAGGACCGGCATCATCAGTCCATCCCACATCATCCCACCCATACCATCCAATACGACTTTTATACCCAGAGCCGATTACTTCTTTTGCAGCGAGAGTAGAGTGACCACAGCAATGTTTGAACTTCCAGGAGTGAAGAAGAGCGACCTGAAGATCGAGTTATCAAGATGCCAGAACGGTGTGAAACAAGTATCAATCACAGGAGAATCCCGACAGCCACTTCCAGACGGCCTGATGGCGCTCAAAGAACGAAAGTATGGCAAGTTTCGTAGGATACTTCCCGTTCGTCATGATACCAAGGCGAGTAAGCTAAATTCCCCTACGTTATCGCAGCTCAAGCGCGCATTTTCTGGCAGAAGGAAGACGTCACCGTCGCTTTAGAGGATGGTGTTCTTATTCTTCGCATACACCTGGGGCCACCGCTCCAGCCTGAGGAGTCAGAAATAATCCCTATACCATGAGTGAGCCTGACTTCAAGTTATATCCAGAGTCCTCCATCGTGCGCCAATTGTTCCGGCAAGAGCAATACGACGTCTGATACCTTCAAATTGTTTTCTCCGCCTTGCTAACACATCTAGCTTTCAAAAATATGCATACACTTGCACTGTCGACCCGCTTTGATCATTCTGCTGTCATCGTTCTGCCTTGAAGTTCTCAGATCCGTAACGATTGTTACATTTTGGCTTCCATAGTCTAGTATAATACACATACATATTTCACACTCACTGTAGCAACATAGTAGTATGTTTCTTGTGATGCCATACAGTCATATCTTGTTTTATGTACCGCTTGATAGTCAGCTTATACACGGCCAATCGCAATCGGCAAGAAGCATCGAATAAGAATTGCCGTGAAAAAACGACTGTAAAGTTTTGGTGGCTTGTTCGCACAGTCCTTATATTGGCCTGTCCTTTTTTGTGCGCATTGGCGTGCTGCAGTGGTCAATATTTAGGCTCGACGATGACCAGTCCGCAGTGGGTCTAGTGACTCTAGTCAATATGCAGCGCTTATTGTTCCGGACTGTCACATTAGATACATGTCACGCGTCAGGTGTCACGCTCGCGTCTTGTTCTTCCACCTTCGCGATGGCAGCAGCACTTGAAAGACAGAGCCTAGTAAAGCTATGCTCAGGAGAAACATATGAGAAGGCACAGGCGATTCTACGACTTACAAAAGTCAAGACTGGAGTTGGCACTGGATATCTCGTCGCTCATCCAAGTGCACTCCCAGGAATTTGCGCGTATCTCGCGTCAGAAGAGTGCGCCGTTTTCCGATTACCACCTTCTAGCATCTGATACTCGTTTACAGACTGAATAATAACGAAGTGTCACAAAAAGCCGCGGTCGCGAGCGCTTGCATCAGTCAAAATGATTTTACAAAAGCTCTGAGTGTTGTGCGGCAAGCACTTGACTCGACAGCGAAACAACACACGAGGGATCTTGATTACAGGTCGCTCATTGGGACGTACCATGTAGCGCCAGCCGAAGAGGCCTTGGAATGGATGCGCGAAGCAGAAAGCAGTATCCCGAAGGTTGACATGCTTCGTATGCGCCATCAAGACAGTACGGTAACTTGTGCCATATTTTACTGGATATGTCAGATTATGGAGGTCTGCATAATATATCCTTTGAATACATTCTTGCTCACGTCGTGTTTTAGGTTCAGGGGGTGCAAGAAAAATCGCTCTGTCAAAATCATGGCGTCCGTCTACCTGCGTTCAAATCTGTTATGAAGGCCCTCGACAAGGAATGCGATGCAGTCGCTGGCCGCATCAAATATGAGCTACAAGAAATGAATTCTTCTGGGGCGCCTTCGAAACTCCGGACTCGCCCTTCTACTTCGCCACAGAAATCTCCATCCAAATCCGCCATGAAAGCCAGATCACGGGATGTCACGCCAGCGAAGCCCCTCACATTAAAACGTGCTGTGGTGGCCTTCTCCCACAGCATCGATGATCCCGATGACACCCTATTGCCTGAGACCCCGACTAAAAGACGTCGGGTTGAATCACCTTCTAAACCTGGCGGAAGCGTTTTAACGCCCGCAAAACGTACCAGGGCGCCACAAAGTGCCACACATTCCGTAACTGCGTTTGAGCAGGCTGTCAGGGGAGATTCCACACCACGCCACGAACAGCAAAAGTCTGCGTTTTCCATTGCCATATCTAGTGGCTCACACTCCTCATTGCCTGGTCCTTCTACGCCGCGGCGCTCGCGAAGCCAACCATCTAGACTAGTTGAAGAGTCGGCCGCCATGGAAGTCGACGAACAACGATCGGAGCCTGCTGGGCCTCCTGTACGCAAACGTTTCCGACCAGTGTTCCTGGACCAGCGACAGTGGTGCAGTCGAGACCCAAAACTTGCCAAGATGTGGGACGCCGCCATAGAGCATAGGACGGGGATGATGGAGTTGTATAAGCATCCATTTGGGCAGTATCGCCCTGTTGTTACCTCCTGAGTCGTGTTACCTTGGCTCATTGCCGATATCATCATAATCCTAGATCATAATTGCTGTATTATGCCATCCGGTTTCGTGTTTAGAAGTACACAGCAAGACAGTTGGATGCACCTGGGGTTAACCTACAATAGTTGTAAATAGGATAATTTCAGACTCAACCGCAGTGTGAAAAGGACCCGTGCGCCTCAGTACTATTGAATCTGAAGTGCGACGTTTGTTGTGACACTCAAGTTCGGTTTATCACAGTGTTTGTCCCACGGGCAATGTAGTTTGAACCTGAGGACATCCTCAATTTTAGCCGCCGGTTGCAATGTTATTTTTATCCAGGGAACGAGGGTGATTGCAACCTGATTACCGGTTGTTCCAGAACATGAGGGCCAACGTGCTATGTACTATGAAATTTACTGGTTATAGAATTAATGCAAATCACAGAGGAGCCTTCGCTCATAAAGATTAGCTTAACAGAACTAAGTAGAGTTGGTCCTCACGCTCAGATCAGCTTAATACTGATTATTGAATGTCATTTATCTTCGTGCCCAGGTTTGCACAATACTGGTCACCATCTAGCGTTGATCTTCATGCCCAGATTCGCACAGTACTGGTCACCATCTGGCGTTGATCTTCATGCCTAGATTTGCGCAGTACTGGTCACCATCTGGCGTTGATCTTCATGCCTAGGTTTGCGCAGTACTGGTTAAGTCATCTTAAGAGCCTGAATATTATTCCTTGTCTGACGTCAAGTTGTCAACTTAGGGCATTTCTGTCAGGCTAATAGCTTTGCAATCACACAGGACTAATATTAAAGAAACTAGCTATAGGGTATTGAATGTCCAAGTCAAAATTCTAATGAAGGTGTCGGGCCCATGTACAACCGCTGGCTCGCTCAAATGAGCCTCAAAATGTCCTCCATACTTCCCAAGCCGTTCTGCTTCAAGGCAGCAGCACCAATGGTAGAAGACCCACTGTGTGCCCCGTAAGCCTCCGGAACAATGATGTCAATCATGAATGGATTTTGGACGACCGGCCTCTGGTAGCGATGGGTGTCGAGTTCGATGGTATGGCTGATATATCTAAGGCTAGGTCAGCTTGATGTGCAGCCAGACAGTCAGGCAAACATACGCAGTCCAGCCTGGTGTCCCCCAAGAATCTCCCCACTGCTTCTGTCGCGCCTCAAACCACATTTCAACTTTGGACCAGAAGTCCTCGCCTTTGGTGGTGCGCCCGCCTTGGCCGCGCTTGCGCTTCTTCTTCAGTGGTTCTCCAATAGGAGAGTCTTCAGCATCTTCTGCACTCGGTGTTGAGAGACTCTCATCTTCTTCCTCTGCCCGGTCAAGCAAATGAGGGTTTTCATATGCAAAACGACGCTGGAATTTGAAATGGTGAGAAAATTTGGCAGTCATACAGTGGAGAAAGACCGTACTAAGATAGCCAAACGGGCGCGGACTGGATGTCCAAGGTCTGAGTTCCCGCCTGCACGACGGAAACGATTCGAACAGTCATAAATAAAGTCTGATAGTGTGCTTGTGTCATCGCCAATGACACTGTCACGTAGCTGCAACAAGGCAATCAGTTGAGAACCGAAACAAATATCAACCACTTGTGCGCACCAACTCGCGAAATGAATTACGGACGCTAGAACACTGACGCTTAGTATAGATGGTCAGGAAACGTTCCCTAGCTGGGTTTCCATAGATGTTTGTGAGTTTAAAGGCCTCACGATCTTTATGTAAATGATTCTGTGGGATTCGAAAATAAGCATACAGCGCTATCTAATAACTCACTGGCAGGACTTACCGCAACATCAAAATGAAGTGTCATGAATGTGATCCTGTTAGGATCAAAGATAAGATCACCTGCCACAATGCGTATGTTTGTCTTTATGCTTCAGATATTTGATAGATGATGGCGCAAGAAGATTACTTACTCGTTGCTCAGGACTAAGTGAAAATGTGGTTTCAAGACGGATTTGTAAATCTGCGAGAAGTTGTTGTGTTGATTGGTGAGAGGCAGCAATTATGCGCTGTTCCTTGAGAATGCAGAATATACTGCCAAGGAGATAAGTTCTAGTTGCAAGGTCAGATTTGCTCAGTCCATGACCGAGCTGCAATGCAAAAAATGTCAGCGTGTGGATGAAAAATCAAACCGTTGACGTACCTTAGCAAAACCATGTAGGTTTTTCCGTAAGTCCTGTTCTGCATCGCCAAGGCCAAATTGGTTGGCGAGTGCGTCCACAAAGAGGGCGGATAACTCGTTTGCGAATAGATTTGGGTCAATTTGTGGTTGGCGTGAACTTGAAGGTGGGGATCCAGGAGTGCGTAGGTAGGCAGAAGGGCTCATCAGCAAGCTCGAATCCGAAGGACTTCCTGGCTGGGAATCATTGAGCGGACCAGATAAATGGAAGGATGATAACGCCCGTGGCTGAGAACCGGTAGGTGGAGTAGAGAAGTCGAAGGACATATTTGTAGACTGGGATGAGTGACAGTGAAAATGAATGACTGACTCGAAGGCGAGTCGCTGGAAAGTGCTCTACTAATAAAATCAGATGCTCATCGACACATTTATATAAAAACTCAGCTTACATTAGTGGGTTCCATGCTGGTATTAATGATGGCCTCAAGGCATATTTTCGGTTTAATTGTTGTAATAAGGATCATGTTTGGTGGTAGTCGGCGCTGCAGCAAGGATGGCCTCAAGGTATAATTTCGGTTTTGTTGTCATAATAAGGATGTTTGGTGGTAGTCGGCACTGCAGCAAGGATGGCCTCAAGGTATAATTTCAGTTTTGTTGTCGTAATAAGAGTGTTTGGTGGTAGTCGGCGCTGCAGCAAGGATGGCCTGAAGGTATAATTTCAGTTTTGTTGTTGTAATAAGAATGTTTGGCGGTAGTCAGTACTGCAGCAAGGATGGCCTCGAGGTATAATTTCAGTTTCATTGTTGTAATAAGGATCATGTTGAATGGTCATAGTGAGCCCTGCAACCGAACGGTGACACTGCATATTAGCAACAAGTATTGGTAATCAACTAAGAGGGGCGCGTACAGCAGATGATATTATGTAGAAGGAGATATGATAAAGAATATTATGCACCTGGGTACTTGTAGGTGCAGCAGATGATATGTAGAAGCGAAAACCCTGCTCCTGGTTACTGAACTTGTAATACAGACCGGTGTTGCTGTAGTGATCTATTAACTTGTCGGCCTTGAGCACGTGGTCCATGTGCTGCCGCTATAATAGATGTCGTGGAAGCTCCACCAGTGGTGTCATTGCGTGTCCGAATCTCCCTCGCAGCACCCTCGAGGATTGCGAGGTTCATATCTTGCGGCTGAATAGGTACCCGAAGGCCCTGCATGTGCTTTGCGTCTCGCATCCGTGCGGTGTTGAGAACAAGGTCATCAGGGTCCCCAATGTGATGTATCACAGCCTTAGCTTTTGATGTCTTCGCCCGTTCTTCGTAAACAAATTCAACATCGGAAGCCAAGCTCGTGCATTTGTGTACTCGGCATTGATGCTGCAGATTGGCTGCACATAAAATTTGCTTTCATAGAAACAGAAATTCAGTGACTGATGACTCGTACAGATGAACCACCAACCTCGACAGGATAGAGCAAAAAACCACCATGTGCCCTGACTGTGGGCATAGAGTAGGATGCTGCCGGTTCACCAACACTTCCGCGTTCCAGAAGAATTGCATCTGGACGCAGAAGGTTATCTGCATCCGAGCCTTGGCGCTGAATAATTTCTCGAATACACGCTACAATTGGAGACTGCTCTGCTGTGCCATCCGCTACGAGAACCCAATCTCCTATCTTACAAACATCCCCATTGAAAAGCACCATGGACTTGCAAGTACTGGAAATTATGTCCTTTGAGAGTGTCGTTTGGAAGCGATCGAAGTGCATTCGGAAAGTATTTCCCCGTCTCGGTAGTCAAGTAAGGTTGGAGCGGCAGGTTGTTACGAAGGCATTGACCTAAAGATACTGACCCTTAGTATTGTATTTCTCAAAGTTGGAACTCGTGTAAAATTGAACTTTACCGTATTTTTTAGTGTCAGCATGCGTGTCGAGTCCAAGGTAGTCAGTAATAATATTTGGCCGTTGAACAAGTGACAATGGACCCTTTCCAACAACTTTGACGTTTATGGCATCTGGCGGCTTGTCTGATGAGGGATTAGAGGCTTGGATAAGTTCGGGAGAATCAGAGTGAATGTCATTTGTATTATTATCATGCATGAGTATTCGTGCCCCCGAGAGAATATGACGAATCCGACTTCCATGGGCGAAAGAACGTGCGATATCCCGAGAAGGAGCGCGGTGGTTTGAATGAATACTTTTCGCACGAATGACAGCATTGAAGGACTCAAATGCCTCTGTCGCAAACAAAGCAGCTGGCCCAAATCGTCGAATGTGGTCAACGACATGTAATAGAACATGAAATTTAGGCTTATTGAACCATCGGGGAGTCCACCTGGCGGTGCACGCAAGAAAGTTATTGATCGATGTTGTAAGATTGCGCTGAGATGATAATGATCAGATACTAATATGAATATCAGCAAATCAGACTGAAAAGTATGCTACATACTAAATGTTCCATGGAGTTTTCGATTTCAGGCTGCCAGATGAGTGGTATTAGGTTTGATAACGCAACCCAAGTATCATAGCATTCTGTGGGTACCAAGTCATGAAGCACGAATGGTGCAACTTGTGCGATAGCACGAAAATCACGACCAACAAGAGACCCTGCATATTGAACGAGGGTGTGACCAGCGAGATGGCTGAGTCCAAGACCTGAGACGTCAACAGATGATAGGCGAGTTTCTAAAAGTTCCCGCTTCAATTTGTCTTTTCCGATTCTCACAGAGACAACGTCGCGCCAAAGGTATTTGACAAATCCAAGAAGGACTGTGTGGAGGATTTCCACAGGTGTGTCGGTGTGAGGATCGATACCTGAGATGTTGTTGAAGTCAATCCTAATAATATTACACTGTGAAAATGGTTGAGAGACCTTTGATTCGCCACACAGGACTTATGACATTTTCGGGCAGTGTCTCTTTAACTCTATCAAGCACTTCCTGTTTTGCCTTATTGCCACCCCGGATTTTGCAGTATGATTCAGCTAGGCGATTCAAGAATGAGTCCAGAAAGGTGTCCTTGATGCCCGTAGAAGTCTTCCTTTGTTTGATCTGGGTCTGATTCCCGACTGTTGACGCATGAATGAACATTGACTTGAGTTCAGCGATAGTTTCATCCTTGTGACGTGGTTCTCCTATCTAATATCATACTTCATAAACGAAAATATATGCAAGACCGCTCAGATTTGTTATTACCTTTACAAACTGCTTAACCCGTGTCGCCATCTCCTCCATGGTCTCCTTTACTCGTTTCCGTGTAGATTTTGGAGGAGCATCGGTAGTATAGGCTTCGGATTCACTTCCACTAACCTCACCAACACTATGGTCGGTATCTTCAGGTCGTGCAGCAGCTGCTCGTGCAGGATTGCTCTCCACACTTGCATCGTGCCCCTTCACTTTACAGATACGGCAAAAATATTTTCCCATTGACCCGATATGACAGGCCATCTCACTTTGCATGGGGTTGTCCCCGAGCAAGGCCAAGATGGACGGGATGACAAGAACATACTCCTCGTGGACACAGTCCCAGGCCCAGATGCCTTGCTTCCATGATTCCCTAAATTTTACCAGCATCGTTATTTCCACTTGCCTGCTCACGACAAATCTTACTCACTCAAGTTGGTCTACAATACCATCCAACATTTCAAGTGGAGGGGCAAGATTCAATGTACAAAGAAAATGGACGTTGTACTCTCGGTGGACTTCTGCTCGTGGCAATCCTGCAGCTGTAAAAAGAAATGAATTATGTTTGTTCCACTTCTTCGATAAGTTTCCAGATGTGTCGTCGCAGTATAACCAGAGAGGCATTGCATATACGCGAGCACCTGATGCCCGAACACGCCATTGATTGCCTTCAGAAGGATTGGTTAATGTCCATGGCTGCAATTTGCCATTAAGTTCACGTTCTACACCTAAACATATATTTGCGAGATGTAATAGTCAAAGTGATAAAATGACTCTACCATATATCGAGTATGCACGAGGTAGACCGGATGTGGCTTCGCTCGAATCCCAGTTTCGGAATGATACAAGAAGATCATCTTCTGATACTTCAAATGAATGAAAATCTTCTACAACCCAACCGCAATCCAGTTCACGAGTGACAGGCCGCAATGACCAAGCTTTAGTGTACATCTTCCCGCCACGTATGAACCACCGAAATGGAATGCAGGCTTGGCCGCTCGATAGTAATGCAGGCTCGAAAACAAAGAAATCTTGGTTGTGCAGTCTGACGACAGGCGTAAGCAGCTCCGGGTCAAGTTCCTCAAGCCAACATTTAGCTTGTCGAGCTTCATTCAGTTCCACACCGGTATCTTCAGGGTAGAAGTGTAACAGTGGCCGAACACGAGGATTCATCATTTCCTTCAAACACAACTAAGTATAAAATATTGATTAAATTTCAGCAACACACACACCTGCCGAATAATGTCAGGCAGCGAGTTAACATAGTACCTATGGCCAAGAGCACCTTCATAAGGGATTGAACGGATACCGCATAATCGTTGAATAGTGTCTTTGATGAGTTTGACAGACTTCACCGAAGGTACATCAACTACATTGTTGACCCGAAGTAGCCAGAGTAAAATATCAATCTGTCGTTCTGAAAAAACAGAGCGTGGAAGGTGCATGAGAATATCAAGTGTGCACGTCTGATAGAACACCACTGGATCAACAACAGTTGGCAGGTTGATAGACGACCTTACAATCTTATCGGGCCACGGAAACCATTCCTCATTCACGATTTGATTTCGAGAACGCTTTCTATCACTGCCAGTTCCAATAGCGGCATCACCAGCCTGGTTGTCATCTGCTCAAAATGTCAAAGTGAGCCGCATCCCATGTAGCCAGAGTAACATACCATCGTGCCATGTCTGCCCCGTAAAAACTTCTTCATCTTCTGATATTTCGGCTCCCTGATCATCTGAGAGGTCATCTTCATCTAAAAAGTCTCTTAAACCTTGCACGATCGTTGCCTTCGTGACTGAGTAGTCGCCAATGTTGTCTGCTGAGTCACCCAGCTCAAAATTGGGAGTGCTAGCCATGTCATCGAGAAGACAACGTAGCTCGACGATGGAGTTAGATTGAGCTTCAGGTACCATAGAACCATTCCCGTGACGCTGCTGCCTTCTCGAATGATATTTGACTGCATCTTGATGTGACCAGGTCCTCTCATGCTTCTGCACTGCTCGCCGATCATGGGGCTTATTGTCCTGACAAAGGTTGCAGACCCATTTGTTCGCCTCAGCAGGTGTCCAAACTAGCAAAAATTAGATCCTAGCTATTAGTTGTGAGCTTATCTATTAGATCACGTCGTACCATCAAGGTGGGAGAATTCTCCATCAGGCATAGTAGGTTGAGCAATGGGCCTGTTGATGAAGTGATTATTGCACTGAGGATAAGCAGAACAACCGTGCAAGGATATCTGTAAGACACCCTACGTATAAAGTACTTACAAGGCAGAACTGTAGAACGATACATCAGGAAAAAACATGTTGACTATATAGTCCTATATAGTCAGGGTAGTGCGTGTAGTTCCGTCGTCAAGTCCCTTCTATGTAGTCAGCGTTGTACTACATAGTATCACGTAGCAGGCTACTAGCAGCTACAAAGTACTACAGTACTACTGTAGTTCATAGGAGTGCTACTACGTGCAACTACCCGCAGCTATATAGAACCCATAGTTTGTCGGAGTGCGCAGTAACCAGCAGCTAAATCGCATGCAAAAAAAACCAATAGTGTCTGAATTCGAGTACACGACACACAAGATAGTATAGTATAAATGTCCTACTCAATCCTCCTCTTCATCCGCACCTATAAACCTGCCACTCTCGCTACAAGCCTCCACATCCTCCTCCTCTTCATCCGCATCTATAAGCCCGCCACTCTTGTTGTCGTCCGACACATCCGAGTCGAAGAAGACCGAGGGAACCAAAGCTGAGGAACAGGAGGACAACTAGATGGTGCGAGCGCAAGGATAAAGGCACAGGGACAAGGGAGAGGTGACATCGGGCCCGAAAGCTAAAAAGTTTCCAAGTTTTATTTCAATATATCGGTTAGAAAAACAACTTACAGTATCAGTAGAAAGTCTAGCGAAAGGACGAATGAACGTCTCAATTCTTTGCAGAAACTGAGACGTGAGTTTACATTAGTTCATTATTTGATTACCAGTATTGACGCGACGCAGTAGGCTTACCTGTTAGGTAGATGTTTCGTCAATGGAGTTCTTTGCAGAAACTGAGACTAGGTTTACCTGTTAGCTCCATCGCTCCGTTCGCTTGCCTCCATTCACTAATTCTCGCGAGGAGTTCATAAGGCGCAGTGCGCTCATGGAATAAGTGCACATGTACTAGTAGTAGCCAATCATTAAACAAGTCCTGTCAATGTCAGAGTGAGAAAATCTTCAGCTCGAACGAGGATCGACACACTCACTCTCTGCAAACGGTGGTCAACGACTTCGATCAGCATGGCTCGAGCCCGAAAGAAGATCAACACACTCACGAACTGCGAATGGCGGGCAATGATTTGAATCAGCATGACTCGAGCTCGAAGGAAGATCGACACTCACAGGCTGTCACTACTGTGCACCTTTGCGAAATCGGACGACAAGGTGCTTCATTTGTGGGACTTGAAGACAGGTGTTGTGTTGAAGAAGACCTTGAATAATTTGGTTTAAATAGAAAGAACAAGATTGGGATAAATAAAAATCATTGCGCACCTCAATATGAAAATTTAAATAAGAAACAGGCAGCTGTCTCAGGCAGAGAAGTTAGAACATTGAAGTTAGGAAAATTTTTGAACGTACGTGAGCGCACCCATCACGTGAACAAACATATACAAATGTTGGACTTTGGAAGTTTTCGAACCCGCTGGGTGACAAGGCCCATGTACCTCTCTATTGGCGACATTGCAAAAGAAAAACGGCAGGAAACATCAGCACGAGCGCAGTCATCTCATATCTGTTTCCCACTCTTCAAGTTCCATACCTGCAGCGAGCCGTCCCATGAACAAGTCATTATCTGTTCTCCGCCTGGCAGATGTATAGCTTCCTCGACCGAATGGGTGTCCCTCAAATCTCTGGCGGGGTGTGATCGTCGGTCCCTCCTTCCTTCTAACGATGAGTAAAGACATCTAGGTGCGGTTCCATCTCAGGTTTCATCCAACAAATCACAGTTCTTCACTTACAATGATACGTTTAGATACCATGCAGCGCTTAGTCGAGGCATTCTACAAAAACATGTGCGGGGATGGCACAATGAATTCCAAGCGAGCTGCCCGGGCACTGCACCGAGCGGTCCAGTTGTTGGCCTCCGACAAGGACTTACCCTTGGACCAGCACATAGTGTTCGTGCATATTGGCATATGATCTATTTCGTGTGTCCTCTCCCTTTTTTTCAAGTGTTCTTGAGACCATCTAACCACTTCGCGTGTAGTATCCAGCCATGGCTATGTTGCCAATAACTCCAAATTCGATATTTCAGTGAGACTGTACACCTTCACGATATGTACACCTAAATCCGACGTCAAATTCAATTTGTATTTTCCAGTTTGTTGCCTCCGAGCGAAAGGTGGCCGCTCCTAAGGTTTGTGTGAGGGTCATGTTCAACATTGTACCTTCGGTTTGAACGTGGTCTGGCATATCATCTCATAACGGCAAGACACTTTTGACACTCTTTCCACGTCTCCGGCTGAATGCCATTGTCCAAGACATTCTGCATGTCCGCTATTAATTAGTTTTGTTACTACCCAGCTACTATCAACTACGAACTATTGCGACTCCTGGTTACTACCAGCGCCCGCCGTAGCCTCCTGTAGCCCACTGTAGCTCTATATAGTCTGAATGACAGCTACGTGAACTACATAGACCTATGGTGACTATATAGTACTATATAGGCGTCACCAGGACTCCTACGATTTTTGTTTTTTCCTGATGTATTGTTTCCAGTATGTGCTGCTTTCGGCCGTAGTGGGGTGACTAAACGAGGCTGTTGATCCAACGATTATTGTGCTGAGAGTGTATGGAGAGACTGCCGAAGGATAACTCAAGGACGCCCTCCGCAGATAGTACCTATGGGGTGCGGCCCTTGTTTGGCGTTGTTCCCAGGATAAATCGCTTATGGCCGAATAGACCAAACAGTTTGAACCTCAGGTTAAACTCGCAATGAGCCTGAGGCCCAACGCTCGGCGGCTGCCGGACAACTCAACATTAGCATTTCATTCTTGTTTATACTTAACCGACGGATCTTGTCCTAACTCAGTACTCAGTCTTTATTCAAAACGGAACGGCGCACAAAATTTATATATATACTGAGCGCCAAAAGGACCAGTTTAACCACAGGTTCAACTAACTTCTTACCGTGTACATGTATCCATGGATTTTACATGGGTTATTTTTTGATTTTCGCAGAGAATAAAACTTGTTCTGTGCCTGTTGTTACTGTTCACCTGTACTGACGCAGAATGGTCATACTGTGAACGATTTTTTTGATGATTATGCATCGACTCTACGCAGACCAACTCTGAATGCGTTAGCGGGTGCTCATGGACTTTCGGTAGACGTTGCAGAAGTTAAGTCTATTTCCCATCAGGTTAGTACAGGACTTTGGTTCTCATTAACATTCGTCACGAACATTTGAAGGGCGACTTTGTGCCGCAGTAGTTGTTGGTAGATTGTTACTGTTCCGCCATTCGCCGCGGCAGGACTTGGCAGAAGACCGGAGCATGCATGAGGTGAATTTATGATAAACTGTGTAGTTGTCAATGCAAATCCGTTTCCTGACTGTATCTACCCAACAAGTGCACATTAGAACTAGCTGTTCGTCCACGGCAAAGTCAGGGCGCCCTCTCCCTAAGGTTGAAGACAATTTTGACCACCTGCAAGCTATCTGATGCACTCAAGAAGCAGAATGTGGCTTAGAATGATCTTAATATCAACGGACTTGAGGTATTTCAACGAGTTGGAGCGAGTTGAGGCCGTACAAAGTCCATTGACGAGTTGAGAGGGTACTATGAGGATGTCACATCCGAGTGATTAATGTCGGCCTGGTTGACGAATAATTTACCTCCTCTGAGTTTCGCCTGTCATGGCATGGCAGTTCTGCCGTGTTCTGCCGATTCTGCTGGCAGAACTGCCGGCAAATTTAAATTGCGCGACGACAAGGCTTTAACATGTCCCGTGGTGACGAAGGGCCCGTACTTTCTGCGAAGATAGCCTCGTTCTTGATAACTATGTTGGCGACCACGAAACGATGTGGTTAATGAAGGGAACTGAATCAAAGACGCTGGTGATGAAAGGAGCGGCCCGATGCGTTTTCGGGACTAGCGGACCTTTAACTTTTGTTCTCTGCAACCTTGTCTGTCTACCAGCTAGCAATCTATCTTGTTCTCCCTTTGCCGCAGGGTCGGTATCAGAGCCTCACATCAGACTTAGGGACCCGGGTGATGATACGTTAAATCACTCCAGAAAGTGGAAAAAAAACATGCACACACATTCATATTCACTGAATCAAGTTTGATTGTGATTTCAGGATGCGACCGTATACTAGCGGGCTCTTCCGCGAGCACCAGTGCGTTATAGAACTTATAAATGCTGAACTGATCTCCCTGCTGAGTTTACCCCTATTAGAAGTATTTCTCATGGCTGGCTGCCGCTATAGACAACCTCCAAACCAACGTTCTCTCGACTGTTATGATTATCCATCGATGGTTAACTCATCTCATTTGAATTTGAATGATACGTGCATCGCCAGCGAGCTGACTGTGACTCCTTCTAGCGTGATTTACAGAAGGAGATCAACGTTCACTGCCGCTGAAGTGACCTGCATTCTCAGCCAACTTGATGTGCTTAATACACTAACTCCATTATCTTATTTTCGGATCGTCGCCATGGACCATGGATGCCAGCACAACAAGAAAACTGGGCTGGGAGGGTGTCCACCGACGCACATACTAGTATAAGTACTGAATAGTAGATTTTCCCTTCCCTTTAGATTTACCTTGAATCTCTTCAGGCTACACAGTCAACACTACTCGCGTTATACTATGGTGTCGCGATCCAACCCCACACCATATTGCAATAATGTTACAGATCTCCAGGACTCCTTGTCCGCTGAACTCTCTCAGCGGCTCAAGGATCTCCTGGATCAAGCCCTGCTCGGGTTTATACGGCCAAATTCCATGTCTCAGTTTGCTCAACATGCTTCCGAGTTGGCTAACTTCCGCGAGGCTATAGCACAGGGGAATTCAAATGATGATATAGAATTTCTGCGCAGCTTCCGAGAATTCGTTCCAACTACGAACTACGAACCTTATAGGCCGTTCATAGCCAAGTTTTTTGCGACCCCTTGCAAGGAGTCTGACGTAAAGAACATGTTCGCCCCAGGACTGCCCTACTGCTTAGCCATTTCCAGCACGACATCTGGAAGAGCGCCAAAAACATTCCCAATATACCGACCTGCATCGCACCTTTTGCATCATCCCTTATATTTGTCGCTTCGCCACTCAGAGGGTAGTACCTTATCACCATCTTCTTTGAGTTTTGGGCAAGCCCTCGAAATGGATCTCGAGGATGACCAGAGCTCCAAGATGTTGCCGGTCTGCTCGGTAACCGTCGGTTTTCTGCGAATGCAAATGAACTGGGTCATCGAGCATGATATGGACAGACTCGAATTATGGGGTAAGTTCGTTGTACTATTTTCCCTTGCATCTACTGATATCTAGGCAACTTTCAGTTCCAGGGACAACGGGCCCATACGCGATTTCCTTGGTGAAGAACTATCGTGCTTTCTTCATTTTGAATGCGCTATTTGCACTGACAGACTGCCGGGTGACAACTATCCGCTTCCTCTTCGCCAGTGTATTCGTCAATTTTTTGCAATACATAGAGGATGAGTGGACTCTCCTCATCGACTGCATCGCGAAAGGGATCATTCCAGACATGGAAAACCTAGAGCACGTCCGAGAACCTTTGGAGGTTGTATTTACGTTGATTTTACATTTCATTCAACTCACAATTTGTCTCAGAAACATTTTACTCCAAACCCTATTCGTGCTGCCGAGCTTCGCGAAATTGGACCTCCTGGTATCGAGGGCTGGGCCGTCCGTGTGTGGCCTGACTTGACAAAGTTTATTGGGATCACCGGAGGCCCTGCTGCTGCATCCGTTCCAAAGGTATGTCAAGTGTGGAAGGTTCACTATGCAATTGGAAACTCAGCGACATAAGGTTACTCACGTCCTCGGACATTCTGTTGCCATGCAGTCTCCTTGTTATGGCAGCTCTGAATGTTATATCGCCATACCATATTTCAACGGCAACCCTAATACCGACTTCAAGGTAGTGCCTATAGATGGGGTCACCGAGTATCTGGACGTGCGTTACAACGAGCCTTCGGAACGTGTATTGTCTGCTGTAAGAACTATTTACTGCATTCCGGCTTTGTGTACTCATCCCTGTCGCAGTGGGAGCTTGAGACTGGAGGGCATTACGAGCCCGTCTTGACGACTCGTAATGGCTTGTGGAGATACCGTATCGGCGATGTTATCGTCGTTAAAGGCTTTGCGCCAGATGATGGATTACCTGTCATCAATTACCTTCATAGGCGAGAGTAAGTTACGATATGATTGATTTGCGGCTTAGCAGTTGAAATGCCCGCCGAGAAGTGGCTCACTTGGACTGGCGTATGGAACAGCGTGTACAGAGTCGCAATTGACGGATGCGATCGTATCTGCGTCTGAACAATGGATCGGCCAAATCATAGATTTCACTGTTGTGGCCGACGACAGAGACACGCCAGCCACTTATGGGTACTTGGTAGAAATTGGAGGTGATATAGGTTCGTGCTTGCTTCGTACTCTTCCGCGCGACTATGCTTATTTATATTCGCAGGAACGGAGGCGAAAATGGCAACACAACAAATTTTTGAAGACCTCATGGAAAATAATGAGTATCATATGACTTTTTGGCAAGGAAGAGCAAGGAAGCCAACCGTCCGTCTCGTGAAGAAAGGCACCTTCACTGAATATCGCAGGCAGAAATGCGAGAAGACAAACGTCTCGATGGCCCAGGTGAAGGTTCCCATCGTCTTATCCGACCCATCGTTTAGGGAATGGCTCCTGCAGAAGGTTATCATGGAGTTATAAGATATTGTAAAAGCCGGCTGGAATGTCTCTATTCTTACCTTTCCGCACTTCCATATAGTTACAAATTTTAGCAGTGACCGGGCAGACCACATGATATCTGGACTAAATTTTGACTGGCGGATGATTGGTATTTGCCAGCTTGGAATTTAATGACATCCACTTCATGGGATAGCGATACGGATCCCGGGGATCTACTGTGTATATCCCACTCTCTTC